TCTCAACACAAGCTGCTCTGTGGATGTCCATAGGGTTGGATTGATGTCGGTTAACCGAAATTATGTTCAAACTACGTACTTGAGATACCACATAGGATCAGCGTCACTTGTGATCTTCTCATTGGCTTTCATTATTTTCTTTATCTGGAAGACCAGACATAAACAACATGAACACATGGACATAACAACACAGCTGTACACAAATCCAAGTTAAGAGTTGTGTTTCACCTCAACATTGATGAAGTAGTTAAAGGAGTCGATGTGCTGCTTCACAAGTCCTTTCACCTGCAGAACAGGTCGAGCAACAGGTCACACATTGAAATGAAAAATGTCCACGGTGAAGTAAATGGATTGTATACAAGTGCAGATACAATTAGTGTGATTACTGGATCCAACAGAAACGTACGTTGTTTTGACCAGATGGAAAGAGAACAATTAAAACAATTAACATCTGTTACTTTAAGGTATCAATATGTTATAGGCAAGGTTGCAAATCCATAAGTCATTTCTACATTAAAGCAGACTCTAGCCTATATTTTATCCATTAATAGTATACCGGTTGGTATCCCACGCAATTTCCTGTTTCATCGCAATATAACTTTATGCTACATAAATAATGACAGAGGATTTGTAGACAACATGAAAGATTTAATTCAGTTTGGGATATTTGGGGCACTAATGTTGACCTGTTACCTTTAGAAAAGCTGGTAACAGTTTCCATTTTTCCTGTAAAATGAAAAGAAAATACATAAATAACACATCAGATTTTACTGGATTCTTTATTCACCAGCTGAGACGGTAAATGGTTTAAAACACTTTATGTTTCGCAAGTTAAAGTTGACACGATAACTTCGCAAACTGACATTTCAAGACGCTACAACTGAAAACCGCGCGTGTGATTAAGGTTCACACGTCCCTCCAGAAGCCGTTTATTATTATTATTATTATTGTTGTTATCATTTACTATGTCTAGTGTGTAGCGATGGCCGCCGCGTTAACGTGAGCGTCTGCGCTCGTGGAGGAAGCTCTCGAGTCGTCATCCGCACGCGACTCACCGCCACCGTGTTGACAGGAGCCGCGAGCTCCTGAGGAGTCAAGTCGCCGAACTCTCCTCCCAGCACCTCCATGCTTCTCCCCGGCGCCCCGCGGCGAACACCTAAAAGACTCCTCGGCTCGCACCGGCGAACGATGGTGCGAGCGTGTGGTCGGAAGTGGCCGAAGCGTGCAGCCCGCTCTGGTGTTACACTGTAAAACGTCCGTGCGGGAAGAAGTAAAATAAGTGTGAAGTAAGTGTTCCGCATGTTGTCGTTTTTCTTTGGCTGAAAAAAGATTTCTAATCTTCTGCAACAAGGGTATGGAGATCCACATGTTCATTGTTGTAGGTGTGATTATCAGAATATCTCATTGTCTGAACTTCAGTACAAACTCATACGTGGAAAATAAAATTGACTTTATAGTTGATCGGATGGGAACAAGCAAACCATGCATGGCCTCTCGTCCAATTTGTCTTTATTGCACAGTGTACTCCGGTCTCCAGTACTAAAATGTCCAATTAACGGTCAGTATCGAGGGACTCATATTAATATATTGATAATGCAACACTAATTCTCACACTGATTACTCAAAATTAGCAATTTGTTGATAGGATTTTAGCGGTTCTTCCACATACTCACAGCCAATTAAATTAAATCAGTATATTAAAGTTATTTTAATGCATTACACAGGTTAAATTACAGGACATTTAATAAATTGTTGACTTTAAAAAACACCCATCACTTTTATTGAAATCGCATTTTCATCATAAATGAATCATGTTTACAGTACTGATAAAATATTAGATGTTTAAACATCTAGGTACTATACTAAGAAGGTCTGTGGTCTAAACCCCAGTTTGTACCTCAGCTTGTCGTGCATGAACATGTTGAAGTGAGTAGCACATCAGCGCGAGTGCTGCTGCCCAACATGTCTGCTGTTGCTGCTAAGCAGTTTTGGGTACGCCGTCCCGAGGGAGCGTCCATGTCTGATGACCACCAGCTCCATCTGATACTGGTCAATGTTGACCAGCACCGCTCCGTTCCATGCTCCTGAGGATGACGATGGTGAAGATCGCCATCTCAAACTCCGGGATGGTCCCGATGAAGGCGCTACCAACGGGCTTCACCAAACCATGCCAGCTGAACTGGAGGTTCAGAACGTGGTCATCTTGATCGGGCTGAGAGCAGAAACACATAAACGTTCAGTTTGGTGAAGAAAAGGAATAAAGACGGAGGCAGCCGGTGATGTTGCTACAGAAAGAAAGGATTCTCTTTGTCTGATGAACTGGTTTACTCACTAGGTCAAAGTTCCTGCCCTTGTATCCTTTGTAGTCCAAGTGTGTGCTTTTTTCCTTCCAGATCTTGTCTCTCCAACAAACACATGCTCGAACCCACAGGAGTCCAGGCTGGAGAATGTTTAGGTTTAGGGATGACAAAAATTTAATTAAATATGAAACAAATCACAGCATTATACACAATCAGAGTAAATCCTGTGATCGCTTTTCTGCACACGTAGACAAACAGCATCGCCTGCTGTTTGTGTGTCTCACCCTGCGTTTCTCTGCCGGTGGTAGAAGTTGAACCAGATTAAATACAGCTGACTCTTAAAGCGCCTCAGGTCAGAGTTGGACTTTGCTTTGCTCACCAGGTACCGATGAGCTCGCTGTTGACAAATCACAGCGATGACACACAGCTCTATTGATCCAAACAGGCAGACATGGTCAAAAACAAAGTCTTACAATAGCCTTCCTAACTTTCAGGTTATCTCTTCTCTAATATTAAGTGAATATGTTTTCAGTCGTTTAAAGAAGATTTGAACTAAACCAGAGGCCTTGTACTGTAATAAAAGCAACCGTATTTTAAAATGTATTGAACTTTAGTATTTATTGAAATAACTAGAAAAAGTCTTAATGAAGATATTTCAACAACCTTGATTAACAAGAGGGAACCAAATATCAAATATGTTGCTGTCCTCTTCCCCCTCCTGATGTCAAAACACCCATCAGGTCGCTCTAATTACATTACAGGTCATTTAGCAGACGCCTTTATCCAAAGAGACTTGCATTACACTTTAAACCCATGGCTTTTTCACATTTTTGCCCAGGGAGCAATTAGGGGTTAGGTGTCTTGCTCAGGGACACTTCGACATGGAACATGGGGCAGCCTGGACTCGAACCACCAACCTTGTGCTTCCCAGCACACCTTCTCTAACCCCTGCGCCACGACGACCCCCTCTAATCATACATGTTTTTTTCCAACCTTTCCTCTCTGGGGAGAAAAGCTGAGGCCAACACAGCATGCCACAGCTGCACACATCTGTTTTGAATTCTCGCAAACATCCAAGTTATCTGTTCGGTGCTGCAGTACAGTTGGTAACAAACTAGAAAGAGTGTTGGGAGCATGTATATTCCATATGGTACATCGTGTTCCTACTCTGGGAAGAGGCAAACAAAAAGGGGGCAAGGAACGAGGTGTTGTGCAACAGAACCGACAGGAACAGAATGTTGGACAGAAATGGGTGTAACATGTGAAATGGACCTTCATGACTTCTGTCTCTAGGACAGCATCCAGGAAGAGATCAATCTCGGTCCGTTCCTCTGCTGTGCTCAGCGACGCCTGTGGACCGCTCGTAGTTGTTCAGGAGTTTTATGAAGCCTGCAGAGCAAAACAAAAAGTCACATTCATTCCAGTGAAGGCGGCAAATGAGGTGGAGTTTTGATTTCTAGAAAGATGAAATATATTCTGTATGTTAGAGAGACACTCACGGGACTATGTGGTTGTGTTGGCCAGTTTGTTCTCGTTAACATCGGAGAACAGAGGCTGTAGAGCATAATCTCGCACAACGTGGCTGCCTGGGTTTACAAAGCTGGCTCTACCCTGCACAGTCAAAACACAGGATACGTGGAAGCAGAAAGCAGCCCGAGTGCTGTCAGCGTTAGAATATGCTTCGCATCTGAACAGAGATGTTGTAGTCCGTCACAGGAGTCAGGCGGTTCTTATCCAACCTCCACAGCTCGTTGAAAATGTCAGACAGCTCCTGGTTAACAGCTAGCCTGTTACACAAATGTCAGGTATGGGAGGACCAGGAGCCCACAGAACCTGTACATACACCAATGAGTAGATATTAAATATGTGTTTGGGTATATTGTGTAGTATTGACAAAAAATAACTTCAGAAACCTAACCTGACTATATAAGGAAATTCCTTTTATTAGTATTTTGGTCAAAACAAACATAGATACCTTGCAGCCATGATGCCTCTTCCACAACTAAAGCTCAGACTGCAGAGTCCTTCACTGACAGTGAAGTCCAAACCTGGTTTTCATAACTTTTTATTGCGCATGCGCAAACCTGAACCAACTCGCTGTGGTGTTTACGTTTGGGCTGCACAGCCAATAGAGGGCGCTCCAGCTCACGGACTGAACGCGGTTCTGCCAGATGTGTCCGCGAACTACAATTGCAGACGACTGATGTCGGTCCAGAGATCCTAACCGCGTTTTTTTAAATGCGCGGCATTTACGACCTGAATTAGGGCTGTCGTTAAAAGCAACGAAACAATGGAGCGCAGCACTAAAACGGCAGGTCGTCCCCCACATGGGGACGAGTAACATCTAGTTGGAGCCCAAAGCTCGTTACAATACGTGCACTTCGGTATACAGTAATTTATTTATCTTTCATTTGCTGCTTTGGGATTGCTGACCCATAAGACCCGTGTCGCATGTTCCTCAAGCAAATTCTGCTCAGTACTAGTTAAACTTCTCACATCCAAGTATTTGTAACATCTGCAGTTTGATAGTTAAAAAAAACTTGCACAATGTTGTGCTCACATGTTCCCAATTTGTCTCCAGGTTCATCAAACCTTCATTTAACCAAATTTGAATTGTTGACTAGTTTGATAATCAGATTTTTGCTCAGAAAACTAAATAGACAAATCTTTGCACCTGTACCGCAACTTTTGACAAATTGAAACATTTAAATAACTTTATTGATCTAAGAAAACAAATGTAAAAAAAAAAATGTAAAGGGTTGTATTATAACAATAGTATTTGGAAAAAAATCTGACATAATGTTAGATCACAATTCTGAATAATAACACTTTCCAAAACTTGTATTCAATTACAAAGTTTCAGTTTATAGCAAGAAATAAACAAAAAGTTAATAAACTGTAAATGTGTGGAATTTCAATACCATGTCATTACAAGTTGTGCTGTATGATATGTATCGGTGCAAATACATGTAGAATATTACTTTTGAGTGAACACCTGTTAAATGTTCAGTGTAGGATCAAATATATGACAATTCCCATGTAATTAGCAGGACTTGGTTCTGTAGAAAACGTAGCAGCCGTTTGGAGTTATTACTTTACACCAACTTCTAAAGATGGGCAAATCTTCTCAGCACATCACTTCTTTCTTTAATAGTTCTAAAGTCAGAAAGGAATTTAAAAAATACATATATTAAAATCATCAGTAAAAATCTATCAGAAATAGAACTGTGGCAGTAAACAACTCCAGAAACCAGCTGGCAGGCGAGCAGTGGGGTCGCCCCAAAGGTTCCCCAGCTTTCATCAGACGACAGTAACCGAGGCCAGGAGTGATAGTGGCTGCTGGACTGTAGGCTGTCACCAATGTTTAAAAATGAAAAATAAAAAGCATAAAACATTGCAATACTCCTGGCTCGTCTTTGAACGTAACACTAAGAAGAAAAGAGTGTTGTTGGGGTTTGTCGAGGGAAGTCTGTGTGCAACGGGAGAAGTATTGGCACAGCGTTCCAGTCACAAGGGAACCGGGTCTCATGCGTTGGAGTCCTCATCCGTTACACTCGGGTTTGGTGAATTTGAAGCCTCTTTGAAGAATTCATCATCTTTCAGCATGCTCTGATCAGACACACAATATGGAAAGCAATATAATAAGCTTTTCAGAACAATATGATTGCTGAGCATGGCCCGTTGTTTAATGTTGAATTCTCACCGTCAGGTTTTGAATACCCTCAGAGAACGCTCCGATCTGTCTCACAGTTCCTTCAGAGTCCTCCATCTGTGAAGCAGCAAATCAATCAACTGAAACCCCCCAATAGAGGATGAAAACTAGGGCTGTACAGACTCTACAACTGAGAGAAGATCCTCAGGGAAAAAACCCACCAGCTAAGAAACACGGTGACTATTTCTTCTCTATATTTATTGCACACATTAGATGTCTTTGACATATTACAGATATACTGTACATGCAGTTAGTGATGTTCATTTTTGTAAGAGGCATAAATCAAACCACCCGTCCACAGTTCCCTGGGGGAAAAAGCTCACCTGCTCTAGCCTGTCAAGGTCATCCTCGTAGATTTGGAGCTCAAAGCCTTTCTGAAAGCTTCGTCCCTTTGGCATCTCCACATCCATCGGACACACATACTCCTCTGTCTCATCCTGCTTTTTTCTCCTCAGACTGCCGAAGTTACCAAATGACAGTTTTCTTGGCTGGTATGAACGACAAGAGAAAAGAATAATAAATAAAGTGTTTTATAACACTACACTACACAGATATGCAAACAGTAATACAATGAATGACGTCTTACAAGGTTTGTGTATTTACCAAATTAAAGTAAATGTAAACAAATGTTTCAAATTTTAAAAAAGGGAAAATGTGCAACCCTTTATATGCATATCAAATCATGTTGAACATGCACATAAAAATCATTGTAAAGTGTAAAAATAACATCTTCTCCACTCTTATTTTGGTGAGCTCTTTTTGCTGATGAAAATCAGGCTAGTTGGCAGTACAATTTGAGAACAAGGAAGTTCTGATGGACAGAAATGATTGGACATCGCCTGATTTAACATTATTTAGTCATTTGAATTGACTATTTCTAAGGGGTATATCATCATGTCAAATCCAAAGTTTTCTTGGATATTCAGGGGCTTTAAGATAAGTTCTAGCAGTACTCTTTTAAAGAACAGACAGTGTTTCCATGAGAGCTCTTACGTTACCTTGACCTTAGTGGTGGCCGTCAGCAGAGTATAGTCCGTGTTTTCTAGACACTCCTGTTTGAGCTGCTGGGCCTCTAAGCCAATGAGCAGGTTGAAATGTGTGCCCAGGTGACGGCGCAGCAACGTCTTGTTGGGGGGGATGTTCAGCAGCAAAGCCATGGTCTCCACGTTGAACCGTGGCTCCAGAACCTAAAAGAGTGGCAAGTGACTAGGAGTGGATACTTTCAGGAGTGAATCTGTGTTCCTTAGGAAGACTGAAAGCCAGACGCCCTCACCATCAGGCCGCCGTGCACGCCGCTGCCTCGCAGGTTGGGAGCGTATTCGGCCAGGTCTGCAGACCGCAGCCACTCCATGACCCTGTGGTTGGTCCACTGGGAAATCTCCGCTGGAGAAATATTGTTCTGTGGGCACAATTCATAGAAAGAGGATGAACCTCCCCCCACCAATTATAATGTGTTCACACACAGACGTGCAATATGAAACAGGTGACTTAAAGGGAACGCACCTCGTCCGATGGCCTACGACGCAAGCAGTTGGGCTCATAGTTGTTGAGTCTGAGCACTTGGATGGCTCTCTTGATACTGAGGTGATGCAGAACACTCCCTACTTTCAGAGAAAGCAGGTCATCCTGACAAACAAAAGTTGGACATCAATGACTTACTGCAAAAGCAAAGTATAGCGGATGCGGTGCCAAATACGGATGGTGAGACCAGGCTGTCCCTAGTGGAGCTCATCTGCCTCTCAAGAATACTAACGTGGGACGACGCTGGAGTCGCCAGCCCTTTACTGCTCGGGCCGTGCAGATCGCCCCGCCAACACTCACCACTGTCATGTAGTGCAGCATGCGACCATCCACCCTCCCCTCATCAAATTGGGTCTTGTACTGAGGCAAACCAATGTCATCCAGCCATCCTGAACGTGACCAGAAAGAGCAAAACGTCATTTATATAAGAGCAAACGTCAAATATAATTTTCAGTGAAGCAGAAAAATCGTTGATACTCGCTGGCACTCACTCGTCACCCAGTGGTAGTCCAGCTTTCCCTTATTGTCGTCCTCCTCGGAGCCCAGTGCTTGCAGAGCCAGCTGCAGCTTCTTTCTGTGCAGCAGGTGTTTGATGCCTAGCTCCTAAACATCCACAAAAAGGACAAGTAAAGACTACAGAGACATCGTCCGAGTTACTCTGTTTACCAACAATGCGCCGCCAGTCTTAATGAATTATTCTGCCTGTTCTCACCCTCTCCAGGTCTTGCTGTGAGGCCTGCAGCAGCGTCTGCCCAGAGGAGATCCATCCGCGAGCCATGTTCACATGAAGGCCAAGACCCTGCCCCTGCAGCCAGTCGCACACCTGATCCTTTGACCAGCGTGCAAAAGGAGCATCGACGTCGCTAACAAAAGAAGTAAATCAATAGGTAGTCAAAACTTATGACACCTTTGTATTGGCATACAAAAAACGTCACATGGTATTACACTTTATTGCACACCAGAGGTACAAAACAAGCCAACCACTTTGTCAGGCTGAATACACAGACTTACTTGTTTGCGGTTTTGAGGTCACGAGACCAACCCAATCTGGGTCCTGCTGTGGCTCGCACTCCGCCTCTCTTGAAGTCACCTTCTGGTAGGTTGTCATCCAGGTTAAATGTAGTAGACTGACTCCTTTTTAGCCTTAAAATACGACATTCAATTATACATGTTAAAACTTTCCCATGATCAAATTTCAGCCTTTACCATAGAATTGTTTTGCACATTAATAAAACTCAGTATTACGAGATACAAAAAGGTTTTTTTGTGTGTGTTCTTCTTAAAATCAAGAGCTACAATTTCTATGTTATTTTCTACTCACTTCCCAAAGAGTTTCTTTATTCCCTTTGATTTTTTCCTGCTCTCTGGAGTCATAGACAGCGTGTTTGTACTGTCGCTGTTAGCTGACCTCTGTGGCAGCCCGGCCAGATCCAGATGGTCGGTGCCCTGGCGCTCCATTTCAGCTGTAAAAACAAGCATCAGCATCACAAGGATCCGTGTGGGAGACGGGCTGCTGCACACGGTCTGTGCAGAGACCCAGAAAGCAGACAGACACATGATGTCTGGACCTAGACAGAGTGAGCGGTGATGGCAGTGGGCATTACAAGCAATACCCTCTCTAGTATGCATGCATCAGACACAGTGGATATCTGACTAAGTCTGGAAAAAAACAGTCAAATTTGATTAGATAGAAAGGAGGCTCATTAGTTTGGTGTTGGATGGTTTTGCGGGAGGCCTTCAAGATCCGAATATATCATTTTATCTGATAATCAGAATCTTGAAACAGATCTGTGTTTGGACAGAAAAAAAACTACTAAATAAATACATGCAGGCTCACAGGCAAATGAACAACAGACTCTCTGTGTTGGACTTTTGTGCAACAATGAGAGGGACATGGGTGCGGCTGTAGCACTGAGGAGGGATGATAAAAAGATGTCAGCTAGATGGACGGCTTTAAAAAGCACAAAAGTGAACTTCAATGCACGCTATATTTCAGTAGTTTCCTTTTGTCTTGAGCCAATCAATGACCTCTTGTCTATACTGTACCTAGCATAGGCGCACTTGAACTCTGGCTGCGGTCTTCATGTGTTACACACACACACACACACACACAACAGGATCCAATAAAAATAATATAAAAAAAGGACAAGACAAAGGGCAGACATTATGATAAATATAGGAAAACCACATTGTACAGTTGGAACAAACACAGGCATAGTTGTGTATAGTACACATTAAAAGCCCATACACAGAACGAAGGGCATACATCGGCACAGGAACGGACTTCCATAATTAAATGGGGAGCACAGTCTGTGTGGGCCGCAAATTATGGTCTTGGTCCAGCTAGTATGTTCCATGGGCGGGGCTTGGGAAGTTCAGTCACAGTGGACAAAAAGCCTCCAAGTCAATCTACCTCTCTAGTAAACGCTGAATGTCAGAATGGCATCAAACGCAGAGCGAAGAACCTCGCTTACCGAGGTTAGGGGTACTGGTTGTTTTCTTGCCCCCACGGAGCTTGAAGAAGCCCTTTCCAAAGGAGGAACGAGCCTTTCTGGAACCAAAGCTTTCATCCTCTGTGCTGGCGGGCGAGGTGGCGGAGGGACCCATCGGCGGCTTTTCACTCGTCTCTGCACCGGCATTCTAGCAGAGGACAAAAAGCATTACTCCTACAGGACCAACCTACAAGTGCCAAATGGTCAAGTATGACATGCTAAACTGTAGTTAGATAGTCTATCCATAATTAAAATATTCGTTTTATACACGTTTTTATGAGAGCGAGAGGCTGGTTGTATTGTTTTACAAATCAACAATATCCTGGGAAAAAAGGCATTAACATCAGATTAACGATAAAAAAAGAAAGAAAAAAAGAGCAGCTTTTACCTTTTGATTATTGCTCCTCTCCAGATGTTCCCGGCTGCCAGTCTGTGCAGCATCATGGCAGCTGATCGTCAAAACACAACAATGCAAACTAAACTGGTGGCAGCGTAGTAGAGATAGGGAGCTTTGGTCGTCAGAAGCAGCAGTCTGCAGCTACAGGTTATGAACCTAACTACTGAGACACCTTCTCAGACATGACTGAAGTAAGTCAACAACAGTTGCCTTAGTTTGTGCTTTGCTGCCATAGCTGTGCAGTACATATACAATGCAATATACAATCTTTACATCAAAATGTTATAATATTCACTTCATACTACATAGAAACACTTGAATCTCTGCTTTTGTTGTTTTCTTGAAACAATCTGTAATATTCAAAATGTACGCGTTTCTTAAATATTGTAACAACAAACCAGACCAACACAAAAGGTAGCTCTAATTCTGTTAAATCATATCTAGCCAAGTTGTTATGTGGAGCTATTGTCTGGTTGTAGGAAGCCGGCGAGCAAACATCTGCTGTTGTGTGATTGCTTGTTACGTAAGCGCACACTACATAGCAGGCATGGATACCTTTGTGTTGCTAAAAGGACTCCAGGTCATATTCATCAGTACAACTTGATATCATCTTTCTTTTGATATATGATTGATTCTTTGTCAAGCGGCACAAAAAAATGGAAATTATTGGAGACACGTAAAAATAACAAATATATCTACGTTATAGAAACCTACATTTGCAAAATCCTGTCTACTAAATCAGTGCATGTGGAAGAGCATAACGTCTTGTATTTAACCTTTCTACATCTGCTGCTTCTAATACTCCTTCTGGATCTGAAGGGCTCGGTGTGCGGGAAGGCTCTTCACTCAGTCCATTGAGGATCTCCAACTAGACATAGAAATATACACTTTTTAAAATTAAAAGTAAAAAAATAAAGATTCAGCAGACATGAGAATACAGCATTCTATTAATCTCCAGTAATGCTTAGAGAACCGACAGCCAATGTTATTCATTTAGCAATTGTGAAATCTAGGTGAGCTGATTGTATTTATTGAGTTTAATAAGATATGACGCTGCTCTAAGGTGGAAATCGCAGAGAGTCGCTAAGCAATACACCAAAAAGAAACCAATGAAGTTCGTAATACAAAATGTAACATTATATATTGCTACATCAACACTGACAAATCAACAATATATTGTGGTTAAGAATGCCATTTACAGTACTGAATTGTATTTTTTATGCTTATCAAAATAAACTGCTACTCACTTATGAGTGCCAGTTGATTTTTAGATGACAGAATTTGTGAAACACACACTATGGAACACAAACCTCATCTGGGCTCCTACTTTTCAGTTGTTCCCCATCTGTAACGTCATACTTTTCGGACTCCATGAACACCGTGATGTTTGAGAAGAATGCAATAGACTCATCACCATTACTGCCCATGTGTTCAGTATCTTTGCTTTTCTCTGCAATAGACAATGATTAAGATGCACGTTGAAATTTGACACTTTCAGAATCCGCTGTGTTGTTTAGCATTGATCAAACCTTTACTCAAGGGGATTATCATATTGTACAGAAATAAATCCAGACGCCATCTAAATTGGATAGCACAATCTAACATCAGATATATTGTGAAGAATTGCTTGTATTAAAGTTAAGTATACGTCAAATGCAGTTAATGGACTAATACTTCCGACATAGCATCGTGGCCATTGAGGCGGATCTTTGTAAATATCACTAATTTACTCTGACAGATATCTCACCTTTCTTCCCCTGCACTGACATCACCATCTCTTGAACTTTCTTATAACGCAGCAGCGACTGCTTCAGGTCATCGATCTTACGATCCTGCAAAGTCAAAGACAAGTTGATCCACAGTAAGTTCTTTGAACTGCTTGATTCAGCACAAAGCGAATCACAACTTATCAAATGTACCTTTTCTTCATTGGCTGCCATCAACGACTCGACTGCCTTTTTCATTCTCTGCAATTCCACATCTAGTGAGGACAGACAGTTAACGACAGAATGTGTGATGATTAACACAGGTAAAGGGAGGATATGGATGAAGGACCTGAGCACACAGAGTGCAAAGAGTGCTTCCACCGTGCAGGAATTGAAAGTCATTTCAGCCACATTTTGTTTTTCAAATTAAATAATAATATCCTTGTGTGAACAGATTTTTCACATATTTCACTTGGTAGAACATTTTCGCTTTCCAGAAGACACACACTCACACAGCTACAGCGCCTTTTCTGTGGCAGAGTTGTAAAACACTAACAAACTTCTTTTATTCAGCCGGTCTCCTCTCAGGATTGTTGTTTTTAAGTAATTCAACAACAAAAAGTACTTCAATATGATCTCCAAATGGAGATTAATTGGATATTTAGATATCTGCAAATTCGTGAGCAGATGATAACAAGGAAGACGATCAGGAGACAGAGAGCCATATTGTTAATTAAGGCGTTTTGTGGAGCGATGGCTGCTACTTCTGTATGCAGGAGTTTGTAGAGTCTGAGCCAAATGTGTTGGTGACTCCGGCGGCAAAACACGCCATGTCTTCCTCGTCTGCATTGGCAAAGTGACCACTGCAACGTCGATGTGGAGGGACATAAACGTTTTTTAGAAGAATTATAGAATTATTGATTTTCTAATGAGAGAAAAATGTCAATGTTCAGATTCTATGTGCTTTGTGATGTTCCTGCAAAAAAAAAGAAAGAAAAAAAAGACTGAACATCGGTTTTGGGCAATAAAATGCTAATTCAACTGATCTAGATTAGTAAACTGTATGGATGTCCATGTTGAGGGAATCCGTGTACTGAATGAAAAATGAAATTGTTCTACATAAGTGGAAGATCACTGATGCGGTAACGAATAAGACTGTCACACACTGAGCTTGACAACAACATGGCGGATTAGCAGGACACACACTGGCTGTTGGTGTGAGCGAGGGCAGGTCCGGAGGAGCTAGAAGGGAGATATGGCCGAGTACAGGAGGTGATTATTGTTGGAGAACACGAGGCAGAAGGATGAGTGAGCAGCCTGAATGGTTATGACAAACAACAAATTCATTCCTGGTGAAAACACAAAGCAGACATTCCTTTAGGATTGGCTTTGGTCTTCACTTCAAAGTTGTCAAACGTTGACCACGTTATAATAATGTGATGCGATGCGTTGCGGTCTGGTAATAGCACTCCAATGGGTTATAATGGACAAGCTGAGTTCAGGTGGCTCATGCTCGTTCATGCAAACATGGGTTGAGAGGGGTGCAGTAATAAGGTGCAATAATAAAAACAAATATAAAAAAAACCCTTACGTTTTTCTTTCAGCCTCTTTCTAAGAGTTTCATCTGGATGAGAGACTAAACAGGACAAAGAATTATGAAACAAAAAATGGTTTGACTCTAGCAGAACTAAGCCGACTGCTTTGCTAATTATCCATAGATATTAGCACTCAATCTCATGACCAGGAGCTTAGACATCATGCATGCTCGTCGTCAGTACCGCTGGCCATCGGACTGGTTTTCCCACCTCTTTCCGCAGGATCTGAACTGCTCGAGGCGATGGCTCTGAAGCCCGTCTCGTCCTGTAGTCTCCTCGTCTCTCTGTCTTTGCCCTCCAGCTGCCACCTCATCGCGGCCAGCTCCTCCTGTCGAGCAGACGACAACCGTGAGGGCGTTTCCTCCACACAGACACAACCTCCCCCACTCCAACGGCCACACTACAAACAAACCACAACACGGAGTTTGAAGGATGTCGACGTGGTGTACAGAGACGCAGGACACACCTGCTGGGAAGGGGGGGGGGCGGCATGTGTGAGGTGGCTGGGAAAGGACTAAGGTATTAACAAATACATGCCATTATAAAAATGATACGTTTACAATTGACCACAATAAGAAGCAAGTTGAAAATCTAAATTTCCCTGAACAATTTCAGAAAGAAGAGGAAGACGCACAGAAATAGAACGCTGCCAAATCTGCCAAAACCAGCAAGAATCCCAATTAACGCATGCCTGTGGTTTGAAAATGTGAGCGTTTGCTTGATGTTGCCCCCTGTAGATGCAGAGTCAAGCAAGACATTTTTCTAAATAATCCCGACTTTTTGCATTTTACTCTGCTGCATGGTTTAGGCAAGCAAGTGACTTTACGGTTTACAAAAAGTCCATTTGCTTAAAATAATACTGCCAACCAGATGTAATGATTTTACCCTCAAAAATAAAAGCAGAAGAGGATCCAAAGGTCAAAAACCATAATCATACAGCAAGCCAAACAGTCGTCCTGACAAAAGCCAACCTTCATAGCCTGGAGTTTGTGCTCCTTCCTCTGTTTCTCATACTGCATCTGGCCCATTTTGCTTCTCAGGCTAGAAAGCTTGGCCATTAGCGACTAGCAGTTGAGAGACAAGGCAAGGAAGAGAGAGAGATAGAGAGAATGTAGAGAGAGAGAGAGAGATAATGTAGAGATGCAAGAAGTGAAGGAGGTCAATAAGATAAACTACTTAAGATTCAAACCAGAGTTTTTACAGAACAAAGCACATTAAAACAGAAAGAAAACTCTTGAGAACACATCCACAGCCATGAAGACAGTCAGAGAACCCTCCTGTGAAAACTCACCTTTGTGGATTTGAGTTTCTTTTCGTACTGTAGTTTTTCACTCTTCAGCTCTGTCAATCTGTACCGCAGTTCGTTAATTTCAAGAATCAAATCCTGAAAATAGAAAGCATTTAGTGACCGTGGATACATTTGAAGAGACTGAATTCCTTGGAGATTTAATGCTTCAGAAGGCACAGCGGTGTTACAACAAGAGAAGGGAGATGATTTACGCCTTATGAGGCAGGACATTGACAGCAGCTTTTTGTTCCAGTGGGGTGGAAGAGGCGGCCGCGCTGCAACAACAACAACGCGTCGCGTTAGAAAGCTTCCAAGTATCCTGCATGCTTCCTCTGAGAGCAGAAAATTCTCCAATCTCGTAAACAACGGATTGGCTTCTTAAAGTTTGGATACTCTACGGATACTTCCATGAATGATTTGTCCTTGAAAAGTAAGAACATTCATCTGACTTTTATTCTTTCTCAAAACACAACTGCTTTGAGACTAACTAAATAAAATGTGACGTCTGTCCCCCACATGTGTCACAATATGCGTGAAGACTAGCGTGTGTGTGTGTGTGTGTATATTGAGGAGCGAGAAAGGAGAAAGGGAATTCCTTTCCTGAGAAGTAGCTCACATACCTCACTATCTCTAAATCTATCATCAAAATCAAGTCTGTCCTTCTCCAAGGTATTCTGCTTCAGCCTCAGGTTGGACACTTCGGAGATCAGTTCTAGCTTCTGCGTCTCCAGCGTAGTTCTGCACAGAATCTCCTGCGAATGATAAAAGAAGCGATGTTGCAATGAAAGTTGGTTGCTGTATAGTCAACGTTGGCTGCAGAGGCATTCTTGCCGTTGTAAATATTAATAATAACAGTCAGTAGCAGACTTCCACCCCCGACGTAAGCACAAGAGTAAGAAACAACACAGCAGATGTTCGTCTACAGAAGAACGTGAACTCCGACCTTTAATGGTAAAAGTGAGCTTCCCCTCCACACATATGAAAGCTTTCCCTATCGGGTGGCACATTGCATACGAGACGCACACACACCTGTTGTAGCATCTCCTCAGTGGCGTTGAGTTTGTCCCTGTGCTCATCCAAGCACATGTCCAGGTCTCGAATCTTTTCTCCCTGAGCCTCCACCTGGTCCGTCAGCACGCTCACCTGCGAGGAACCAAGAAGAGAGGTGTTTTTTTTAAAGCAGATTTTATCTCGAGTCAAATGTTGCCTCCTCTTGGAAATGGCGGGATTTTTAACCATTGTCGGATGGATACCTGAAGAACTAGTGACTCCTTATCACATTCTATTTGGGAAAGCCTCTCCTGGTAGTGGTCAGAGCCACTCAGATAGATGTGCCCGTTGGACTGCACACACACACACACACACCCACACACACACACACAGAAAGAAACATGGATTAGACAAAGAAGAGAGACTCTTCTTTCACCTTGCACGGTGCAGACTCAGGTAGCTTATTTAGTCAGCTGATCCTAAAATCATTTGAGGTTTAACCACCTAATAACGATGTCAGATTAAATTTCTTCAAATCCAAGTGTGACTGGCTGCCCTGCACTAGCAAAACCTTCCATAGCTGAGAAGATGGCTCACATTCAGGCTGCTGTTTACACTGACTTACAGCATCCTACAAAAACTCTTCAGCCCATCTAGCCAAGCACACTTGACTTAACACCCCCGGCCCCCACCCCCAACATTTCAGCATGAATTCCCAGTTAACTCGGCGCAGGACGGCAGTCATGTTTGTCTGTTGTCTACATTCTACTTTCACACAGGGTTTGCCCGTGCTGGTGTGCATTCACAGAGAGGGTGATCACAATCAGAAGCAAACCAGATGTTCTACAGCTTGTTTGCAGCACATTCTGTCCTACCAGCACAGACAAAACCTCCTCAATGGTATCTCAACTTAAACCGGCCTTAGACAGTGAAAGAGTTCCCTCTTTTGCTTCTACATTTGTTACCTTCTAATTTTAGATAAACCAGTTACGTTATATTACCAAAGAAACTGATGAGAAAAAGATGAGACTGTATTCTGATCTCCAGTTAATGAACTAAAACAGTAACTGTTGATGATTACCATATTGGTTAAATATCTCAGACACTATTCTGTTACAGATTTTGTAGTGTCTCTTGTAGCGTGTGCAGGCTTTTTTAAATCTACGTCTTACCAAGTGACCATGGAGCCACTCGAGCAGACGGTCAGCTGTGGAGTCGGGGATCTGGCAGCGCAGACTCTCTCGTTCCTCCGTGTCCATCAACTCCAGGACGCTCCGAAGGTCTTCCAAAAGGTGCAGCGCCCGCAGGCTGCCCATGAAAAGAGAGGTGGGGGACTGACAGTCGTACATCCCATTGGAGTAGTCCAGAGTCTTGGAGCCTGAGGTAGAGAAGCACCACAGAGGTGAGGGAGGGGAGCATTAAGGGCGGGAACCCTTAGCTCAGGTTACCATACACATAACACAACTTTCAACACTCGTATTAATTACAATGTTGCATTGACTAAATGGCAGAGTGCCCGCTATCAGAAGCTGGACTTAAGTGAATGATGATCATCATAAAATTCCCGTAATTAGGAGATGACCAATATTGGCACACTTGTGTTACATCCAATCCTCTGGAGCCACATGCAGCGTTTTCTAAAACATCACAGGACGGGAAAATTAAATCAAATGGTCTAATGAGGCACAATCAGGGCTCAATAGCTCACTTTTAAGGGTGATTGTCGGGCAGACAACGAGGCATCAGCTATGTGCTGAAGATGAGCAATTAAGATATGATGCAGTTATGGCAGCTTAATAAGGATCATGCAGAATAAAAGCTACATTATTTGTGATTTGGGTTTTATGAAAACAAACATTCTACATATGTCCTTTATGTTTATAATTCAGCTTCATCTGCTTCTCTGTCAATTGAATAGATTTGCGACTGCCATTTGTGATATCTATTTAAAATGATAAAGTGTTATCAATGTTTGCTCAACCTGGAAAACATTTTGCTTTGTTGACACAGCTGTAAATTTATAAAATATTATGGCAACGCTTAATGCAACAGACAAATTATACCTGCTATAATGCCATCCATCTGCTCCAAGGCGGCCGCCAACATGTCGCTGGCATCAGCCATCATCTTTACTCACCTGGAAATGCAATTATCATCATCAATGCATCATGATCTCTTTTGTAAAGAAGCCTCTGAGAAATCTACACACTCGCATGGTGTACCAGGCGGTGACACAAAACAAGAAATCTCACAATAAACTGAAAAGAACATGAAAATGAAAACACCAACGGTTATTGGGACGACCAACCCAGCAGCGTAGAGCAGTGAGAATCACAGATCTGCAGTAATGTGCAGTTCCCACCCGGGAATTAAGCTGTGACTGCAGTGCATCCTCAACAATCCACTATGCCTGAAATTTGCACATTATCTGCTAAAATGCCACAGTTTAGATGGATTTGACGTTTTTGAGCAAAATGACCTGAAAGCACCACGTATAGACAGCTACATGATGACCAGAGTGTGGCAGCAAAAATAAAGATAAGATAATAAGAAATAAGAAAAGATCTGCCAAAACAAACCAAAACCTCTGAAATAGAACTATATGTGCTCTGCTGATTTATACTCAATGAGCAGGGGATGAATAATGCATTTCAGAATTTCAATCAAACTATTCACCTCAACTATTGTCAGAATGGATGTCCCGCCAATAGGACAGTGGACACTCTGTTTGAATCAGTTACATTTTAGCATCCCAGCCTTGGAGCTCTGCCCCAGCAGCACAACAGACCCTTTATCTTTGGACGTTTAATCAAAAGGCCGGGCTGCAAATTCATGCTTAAAAGTGCATGCACAGGCATTCATTTGAACACACACACACCTCATCCTTTAAATCAGCTGCCTCACATCCTGGGAGTGCCTATCACTGGGAATTGGCACCATTTACAAACTTTATGGAAACCAACCAAAGACCCAACACTGTTATTTCAGCGGGCACATTTCCCATTGTGTGTAAAGTAAGCATGCAGCCATCACAACACACACACACACACACACACACACACACACACACACACACACACACACACACACACACACACACACACAAAATCGACTGAGAAGAAAAAAGAGGAACCAGCGTGCCTCCAGTCAGCCTCATAGTGGACTGCTGAGTGGTTTCCAACAGTAAACCCTGAAGGAGGGCAGAGCTGCTTCCGACAGTGACTGCTTGTCTCACAAATAGGACAGGAATGCAGAGCAGAGAAATAGATTGGTTGTTTCAAAAGGCAATCTTCTTTTAGAATGTGAATCAATAATACAGTATTGGTCTTTAAGAGGTCATAAGTGTACTTTTTGACTAACATAAAGGGTACAAAGTGACTTAAAGCAAAAGAAAGAACAAATTTGTACAATTTGAAGGGGTACATGCAGTATTCAAAGTAATTGTAGTATTACAGGCCTATTAGTAGTTATAGTTGAGGTATTTAGAACAATTATTATTATTATTATTATTGTTATATTGTTGTTGTTAGCCTTTTATTACTGGCAACATTTAGTTTTAGCTCAATGTGAAGCATGAGACTATTTTGTTCTACAAATCTGTTGAATTTTCATCTCAGTTTTGGATTTACAGCCTCATTTGAACGTGGTGTTTTTGTTTTGAGCTTTGTCAGTTTGGAAAAGCCTGCCTCACACAAGTATGTGGAGGCAAAAGGAAGGAGAAGTTTTAAGGCCGTATCCGGATATTCCCTCATCAGTGCCACCCAGAAGATCACAAGAGAACAAGTGTCAAAAAGATGCTTCAACCTGCCAAATTGTCTGAAGACAGACAAATCATTTTCTGTGTCTAATTACCCACCTAAACTAGTCTTCTAAAATCACTGTAAATCACGGTTGGTGAGCTTTTATTAAACGGTTACTAAAATGGTGTCTGTAGACAACCTAGTAACATAAAATGTGATTATTTACTGAAAACAAATCCTAATTCTTCTGCCAAAATATAGTTCTCCAAGGTAGCACACTGGTTGTCAAGCAACAGCGGCGCACTAATACCAGAGACGTCAAACTAGTGCCGCGCAGGACAGACAGGAGTCAGTTCACAAAAAAAAAAGAAAAGTGTCCGTTCACGATTCAACTGTTCATTCAGTAGCTATGTCACTCAGGGGGCTGTCCACGGAGGAACTTTTACAAAAGTTGGTGGTAGAAGGAGGAATCCAAATTTCAGATGAGGAGGCTCAGAAATTTAGAGGTAAGCGAAGTTTGAACTTCATAACTATCACCTAGCTAGCTAGCTAAGCTGGTTCTGATATTACAGTCACTAACGTTAATTCACTTAACGCTACTGTAGCTAAGCTAGATAATACTGTATCTTGAACTGCCAAATACGTAGGTAGTAAGTAAAGCTATTGAAAATATTAGCTAGTTTGCTCACATAATTAAGTCGGCTAACGTTATTAGCCATGCTAATGTCAAGCTAGCAAAGGTACACGGTCTCCCGCTCAAAGCTCCAACAAACAAAAGAAATCACCCAAGCCCGCGAATACACTCTGAATTTGAAGTAAGTTATCATTTCGTATTTATCTTATTCACTAGTGTTTCTTACTTGGTGTTTATTTATTCATGTTTCCATTTTTATTCCGACAAAACATGTATATGTGGTGGTGGTAAAAACATGTTAAAGGAAAAAATATATATTTTGAATTGGCTTAATTAATTTTCTCTCCAAGTAGCAACCTTTTATCTTCCGTTTAACGCAACACACAGCATTGTGCGGGGATATTAGTGCTGAGTGGCTTAAGATAGTTCACGCAACACATCCTGGTTTTTAATAATTAGTCAGTAAACGCAGCATTGTCTGAAGCAGGCTGGAAACCTTGCACCTTTATTTACAAGGACTCGTCGCGGTGCCACGTACGTTAGTTTTGGACTTTAGTCAACACGTGAGAACTCGTCTGACACAAAGAGTATCCAGCTGAGTGCTACATGTGTGAAATAACAACTATAGTCTGCACTTTGGGGTGTGTCTGTAAACAGCTTCATTCCGCGTCCCTCCCTCCCCACTGGCACCGTGAGTTACCATGGTTACAGGAAACTGAAATCCTGAAACGTTAAAGTTAAAGTTTTTGTTTAGTTTGACTGTACAAAATCATGAATGTAGCCTGATTGTAGCTTGATGCTGACATCTTGTTCTCTAACATATAGAACAAATGTAAAGCCTCAGAGCTTTGATTATTAACAGTATGTTAGTGATGACAAAGGTGATAACTCGCCATCAGACTGACAAGGCTGCAAAAGTTGCTGTTTGTATGTTGTATTTTTCTGTTGAACATAAGAGGCTCACTTTAAACACTATTATTAATAATCAATGATGATAATGAGAAGTAGAAAAATAACATACTAAACATTTCTGTATAATGACATATGATTATATACAGTTTTTTAAAAACTTTATTTACAAACCACATTACAGCGAGTTGCAAAAAAGGTTGTTTATTTATGAATTGCATCAGTCACTATCTGTATGTCTAGAGTTTCAGTGCTTCTTTTAATAGCTTTTTCATTTATATTTCAGACAATGATGTGGATGGAGAGACAGTAGACTGCGGACTCACAGAAAATATGATTGCATATCTCTTTGACAAGTCTTTCAAAAAGCAGCTAAAATTCAGAGACTTCACACACCGCTACAAGGAGGTCACCGTTTACTTTACTAAGTGGTCAACCCAGAACAACAAACATGTGAAGCTTCTGTGTCCCCAGCAAACCAGAGGTGGTAATGTATTAATTAGGCTATTTTTTTCACCATTTCTTTTTCTATTTTTATCTTGCATTGAGGTGGTGTTGTCCTAATCTGATAATGCTGTTCTTCTGCTGTATTGCAGGTTGGAATCTACTTGCCACAGACTGCCTGCAGTCATTTCCATTCCACAATTCCCGCAAGATGTCCAGAGCCGCTTAGATGCTAAAGAACCGGTCCACAAGGAACAAAAGTACCGTAACAAAACAATTGGGACTCTGTATGACATGCTGTCACAGTGTACAATGTAAGTGTTTGTCACGGTGCGGATTCTTGGGGAGGGGGGGGGGGGGGGGGGGGGGCGTACAGAGTCGGCACGACACAGCGGGTACAGATGCAATACGTTTTATTGGTTTCCTTATGCAGAATCTGCGAGCTCTCCCGGCGTCTCGCTCTCTCGCCGTCGAACTCCACTCCCGCTCTCCGCTACTGCATTTTAAAACCACAATACAAACAGTTAGTGTGCAATCAGCTCAGCTGAGGCCAATTGCCTCCACCTGGCACCGTTCCCTGAGCCACTCCCTTCTCCGTCCCCTCTGCAGCCGAGCCAAACCACGCCCGCCACCACAGTGTTCTTTTCCAAATATCATACAAAACATAAAATGTAATATGTATAGTTTTTATAATTTTCCACCAGATGCACACATGCAAACTTGTCACCCCGGCACAAACCCACACAATAACACGTGTGTTGGGGGAAAATTGTTGAGCCTGCGTGGGGTGAAGCTCTCAGGAATGTGACCTTTGATGTGAGCCGGTGACTTAAGGCAGTCCAGGGTGAGATAAGACACAGATGAAACCATACGTGCCCTGACTGACCTTTTAGATGTTGTTGATTGTCTGGGTCCATAAAGGGAGGGTCACGGGGTCACCCCTACATCATCTGGTACTTTTCCAACACTCCTCTTTGAGGGGTGGGCTGTCCTGTCCTGAGGCAGCACAAACCTCCCTGAAGTGTATATAAGCTCCTGTTCTCCTCTTCAACTTTGTCAGATCTTCCTGCTCCTTTTGGGGGAAGGAACCTCTGTCCCTTTTCAGCTGAATTGTAGTCATTTGACTTCTGTCTGTGCTTACGACTTGTGCTGATGATTTCTGTATTCTTTATCTTTTTCCTATATTCTAGTTAGTAATAAATACTTAATCACAAAGCAAGCTCAAGATACTTTTGATTTCTCACATGGGCTAAATCCACAAATTTCCACCACAAACTTGGCGACGAGGATGGGATGGACGCGTGATCTGGACTCTGACGGACGGACAGGAGGCCATATAGTATAGGTGATTCCTCCCTGAGGGTGAGAAGCTGCCGTCCCGACGAGACCCGGATTGCCGATCCATCCAGT